CAGAACACATAGACTACACTTCGTAAAGAAGCGACATTTGTTTGGCTCCCAGTTCTGCAGGCTGGGAAGCCCGAGACTGAGGGACCACGTCTGGCCAGGGCCTGCGTGCCGCACCCTCACATGGTAGGAGGCATTGCATGGCAAGAGACAGCGAGAGTTTGAACCTGCACACTCAAGTCTCTTTTAAAGAATTTAGTTAATTAACTGCCAACGGGCATGTGTGCTTGCCAGAGATGAGGGGGAACCCCCCATGGGGCATGACCAGCCGTGTCTGTCTGTGTTTCTCTATCCTGTCAGGATTTGGGGCATGCATGCACGTAGGCCCGGTGCATTTCTCAAGCCACTGGGGCTGGGATTTGAATTGGGGTCTGCCATGTGGGGTCCAGCTCCTTTAACCACTGTGCCCCTGGGGTTTATATTTGTGAAGGTTTTGATTTACAGAAAAATTGGGAAGCTAGTACAGAGTGCTCTCTTATGCCCAGCACCCAGTTCATCCTATTAAACACCTCGCGTCAGCCTAATACGTTTGTGACAATTAATGAACCAATATTCGTACTGGTTTCGTTTTCGTTTTTAGGTTTTTGCCATAGGGCACAGTACACTCTTCGGGACAGACAATGAGAGGGAAAATGAGAAATTACCGCCCCCCCCCCATAGGGGATGGCCATGCTGCAGTCCTGTCCCCTCCCTTCTCCTCTTGGAATTTTGGGCATGCAGGTGTGAATTCCAAGCCACCTAGTCCTGGACTCAAACCGTGGTTGGCCAGGCTGGAGTCCAGCGCCTTCACTACCACACCGCCCGCTGGTCCCTATTGATACATTACATTAGCTAAGTTCCACCCCTCACCCAGAAGTCCTTAGTCACTCCCGAAGGTTCGTTCTCTGTTCTGGAATGCCACAGGCCTCAGACTTCCCTGGTCCTCGCTGGCCCTGGCGGTCTGGAGGGGTGCTGTGCGCCCAGGGATTTTGTGGGCAGGCTGGCTGCTGGGGCTCGTCCCGGTCTTGCTCCTGATTTGTTGGGTTGTTGGGCGGGGGCTGATGGCATAGGTAGAGTCCTGCCCTCACCACGTGGGGGCACGTCCACCAGGTCCACCTGTTGGTGCGGACCTTGGTCACGGCTGAGGTGTGCCGGTCAGGCGTCTCCGCGGCACCCGGCCTCATTCCCCTTCCTGACAGCGCTCGCCACCTCAGCGTGTGCGCGTCCTTTGCCTTTCGGTGCCTGCTTGGGATGCAGGGCCCTGGGCCAGGCCTCGTCTGCCTTGTTTGTCCCTAGATCTCGCACACGGTCGGTGCTCGATAAATGAGTTCGGTACCTAGTAACAGAGCCACAGTGCCCGGCAGTGCTGGGACCGAGCCTCAGACAGGGGCCCGTGGTTCCTGCCTCTCAGTCTCAAGCCCAGTAGTGAAGGACATTACAAGGACGTGTCTCGTCGTAAATGTGGACAGGATTAGAGAGGAGGCTCTGGTGTGGTGAGAGCCATGATGGGGGGTAGACTGGGGCCGGCCAGGGCCTGGTACAGATGCTGAGACAAAGGATGAGGGGGATGAGTTAGCTGGTGGCATGGTGGTTAAGGGAGATGGAGCCCACACGGCCGACTCTGCGGTTCGAGTCCCAGACATGGCTGCTTGAAAAACATGCTGGGCACATGTGTGTGTGGGCCTGCGATCCCCAAAGGAGGGGGACATGGAAGAGAAGGGGTTGTGCCATGACCATGCTCCGTGGGGAAGCTTTCTTTCTCTATTTCTCCCTAACAAATTAAAAGATGAGGAGAGCTGTTTAGGCGGACGGCCGGGAGGGTGTCTTTGTGGTGAAGAGAATGGCAAGTGCCACGGCCCTGAGGCAGAGAGGAGCTTGGCACAGTTGAAGAACGCCGGCAGGAGGTGGTGTACCCAGGCAGGGCTACGGTCCGGGGCGAGACGGTGCTTTGAATAAGAGGACGATGGGAGGAGTGGACAGAGGGGCGGGCGGGAGGCCCAGGCTCCTTTTCTTTCTTTCTTTCTTTCTTTCTTTTTTTTTTTTGGAGAGATTTTCACTGTAGGGCGCTTGTGCTCACCAGACAGACAGAGAGACATAGAGACAGAAAGAGAGAAATCACCCCCCAGGGGGTATGGTCACGCCGCAATCCCTTCTCCTCCATTCTCCTCTCGGGATCTTGGGCACGCATGCACACGTGCCTGGCGTGAGTTTTAAGCCACCGGGTCCGGGACACGAACCGCGGTCGACTACGTGGGAGTTCAGCGACATAGCCATTTCGCTAACTGCTGGTTCCCGAAGTCCAGGCTTCTGAGGCTGGCGGATGGGAGTTCTGTGTCATTGAGGAGCAGCTGTGGGGGCACAGGCCAGTGACAGGTGCATGCCCACCTGCCTGGACGGGCTTTGCAGAGGTGGGGCAGACATTTAGAGGTTGGGCTAGGACGGCCGTGCATGCTGGGGCAGGGCTTGAGCAGGCCTTGAAAGAGAAGAGAGAGCGAGGAGAGGTGTTGTCCAGAGTGAGGGTTCAGGAAGGTGTCACAGAGGAGTCCCCAGAGGAGGTGGCCCGGGAGTTAGGGGGGAGGGCAGAAAGCTGGCAAGCAGGTGGTCCGTGGCGGCGGAGGGTAGAGAAGAATACTCCTGGGCCAGTGCCCTCTCCCCGCGCCACCCAGATTCTCGGGAGACCAGGAAGGCTGGGACGTGGTGGCCGGCTCTGTCTCGGCGGACGGTAGCCCGCAGGGCCGCACGCCTCTTTCTTCCCCCACATCTTCCTTTACCTTCTTTTTACTGTTCCTCCTGGGATCTGGGGTCCCGCTTACTGTCTCTGAGTCGTGGGGACGGAGAACGTCACAGCAGTTTCCGTGGCCGGTTTTCCAGCCTGGAATTGCGTCGGAGACGGTCAAGGGACAATTCCGCACTTGTGCCCTCCACCCACTGAGAGGGCCACCCACTGCCGTTTCCAGGGTGTTACTGAGACCCGCCGGGTCGTTTCATTACAATAGTTCTGCTCGCCTGGGAAAGCCGTGGGCTGGGTGCCACTGCTCATACCCGGCCCGGCGTCTGCTTTATCTCGTGAGCCGACTGCCCTACGCAGGACCCGCCAACTGGCATTCTGCTCAGCGGAATCCTGCCTTTCCATAGATACTTCCACAGTGGGAGGCATCTTTTTCTAAAGTATATCACCCAGCAAAGCAAATGAAAAATGTGTTAGGAAAAGGCTTACGAGGGAGGCCGAGCCAGCTGGTGGCATGGTGGTTAAGGCAGCTGAACCCACATGATGGGCTTCACGGTTCAAGTCCTGGACTCTGCGGCTTAAAAAACATGCCAGGCACATGTGTGTGCGTGCCCACAATCCCAAGAGGAGAACGGAGGAGGAGGGGCTGGGGCGTGGCTGTCCCCCCTGGGGGTGCGTTCTCACTTTCCCTCTTTCTCTCGCTCTCTCTGTCCCTCAGGTGAGTGCACATGACCTGGGGTAAAAATCTACTGAACAAACGCGAGGGTGGAGATGCAGGGACACGGGAGCGTGGATGCTCTCGGCAGCACCCCTCGGAGCCCCAGTGTGTCCACGTACTGGCCAACGCCCCCCAGGGAACATCTTCCCCCAGATAGGAGCGGGTGCTGGCGTGCGCTGCCATGGAGGTCACGGGCGTGCACTGAGGGAGCCAGTGCGCACGGCCACACATCCAGTTCCATTCCGTGCAATGTCCAGAAAAGGAAGCCCCCAGGGTGGAGGACAGATGGGGTGAAGTGCTGCAGCGGGGAGAAGGGGGTCTGCTCAGGGCAGGGGCTTCTTTTGGAGTGGGGAAGAATATTCTAGATTTGACAGGGTGAGGGTTGCCCGGTTCTGTGAATATACGAAAACCTACCAGAGAGCACACTTCTAGGGGACGAGTTGTGGGTGTGAATTCTCTCTCCATCAGCCTGTTACTGAATGCTGCAGAGAAGAGTTCCCGGTATCAGCCACAGCCATGCTGCGGCCTGAGGCTCGGTGTCGGGTGCAGATCTTCGGGGTGGAGAGGGTGGGACCCTTTACTGTCTCGGACTATGGGGGGCAGTGTTCTCAACACATGTTCATGTGGCCCCTCTGCTCCCCTGTACCAAGCTGCGCTGGTAAAATTTCCTTTTACTGGGAACGTCTCCCCTTATTCCCATCTGGGAAGAGGCTCAGGCCCACCATGACCACCTGGCCCAGGGTTCCCTTGGGGATTCCCTGGCAGGGCCTGGCAGGCCAGGCAGGTGGGAAGCCTGAGCAGGGGGGACCACCCCACCGCCCGCCGCCCTGTCCCGCCCGACTGAAAGGAGCTCACCTTCCCCAGGGAGCCGGGCCATGCCCAGTGGCCCTCACGGTGTTGGCATCTTTCTGTCCCCGTGCCGCCGGGTCTCACCGTCTGTGTGCTGCTGGCGGATGAGGCCGTAACGCCCCACCCCCCACAGGCTCTCCTGGACTGGGTCAACGACGTGCTGGTGAAGGACAGGATCATCGTGAAGCAGCTGGAGGAGGACCTGTACGACGGCCAGGTGCTGCAGAAGCTCCTGGGTGAGTCCCGTGGTCTCTCCCCACCCCATCCCTGGCAGAGGGCCCTGGGCGGCCCTGGGAGTAGAAGGAAAGCCACAGACCACACCTCCCAGCTGGGTCCCCAGGCCCTGGGCTGTGGCTTCAGGGCCACCTGTCCTCCCAGGCCTCCCTGGTGGATGTTCCACAGAGTGCCAAGGTGGGGCTGCCGTGGACCATGCCAGCTTCCAGAACTGCGCAGGGCGTCTGTCCTGTGGGGTACCCACGCCCTCTGGGTCTGCTCTCCCAGCCGGCCTCGCCTCTGGTCAACCGTGAGTGCCTGCAACTTGGCATCGGGGTGGTGGAGGGGAGCGGGTCCCCGGCAGATACTTTGTGAGCGGCTGCACATGGTGTAAACCCGGGTTTTAGTGCCCGCCTTTGTCGGCTGAGGCTCCAGTGAGCATCCCGAGACTGATGGATGGATAGACGGACGGGCAGGTGCACTGGCTACCCTTCATCATGCGGGCAATGAGTCCGAGGGCTGGGTGCGAGGGATATGGTGACCTGAGAGGCGGACACTGTCCCGCGGTCACAGAACTTTCCTGAGAAGGTGGACACACCGAAGAGTTGCAGTCACTGTCGAGTTCAGTCATGAGAGAGGCCGCAAGGGCACACAGGCCCTGAGACGGGTCCCCAGCCTGACCGGGGATGGGAGCCCTGCGAGGAATGAGGGCCAGTCTTCACAGCAGGCCGAGTGCAGGCCGCCAGGTCGGCAGAGGGGAGAGGGAATCTGGGACTAGGAATGCAGAGGGTTTGACTCAGCGACCGCTGGCTGTCCTGGGCCCTCTGCACGCCTGGAGCCCCCGAAATGCTCCACGTGGCCTGTTGTGTCTGATTGTCATGTGGCCCTAGGAGGCAGCACTGTCGTCACCCACACACCCCGCACCTGACATCCCTGCGAGGAGGACGTGGCAGCCCAGGCCTCCCAGTCATAGCGGTGGGCAGTCTGACCCCGGGGCAGGAGCTCCCGAGCCCTGCAGGGGGCGCCTCCCCTCCTGTGTGCTGAGCCCCACTGGGGACAGGCTTTGGGTCAGACTCGCCCCCTGATTCTCACACCTGGTTTTCACAGCAGCCTCGAGGGTAGGCCGAACATCAGATGTCCTAGTGCATTTTGATCCAGGACCCAAAAACATTTGTCTTTTTTTTTTTTTTTAATCTTTTTTTCAAAATTATTTTTTAATTACCAGAGGGCACGTGCACTTGCCCAAGAAAGAAAGAGGGAAGAAGCACCCCTCATGGGCACGGTCACACCACAGTCCTTTCCCCCATTCCTCCATCCCTTCGGGAGCCCATCGGACTCGGGGCCACTAGGTTCCTCCAGCCTTGAGGGCCAGGACTCGAACCGCAGCTGGCCACGTGGGCCCTGGCGTCTGCACCTAACAGGCGTGCCACAGCGCTGCCCTGCTTTGTTCTCTGAAATGTTTTTTTATCGAAAATAAACCCACCCACTTCTTTTGTTTTATCTTTCTATTTAAAAAAGAAAAAAATGCCAGGCGTCATGCACGCCTGCTGGAGAGACAGGGAGGGAGAAAAAGTGAGAATGTGCCCCGGGGCCGTCGCACTGCAATCTTCTCTGTTTTCTCCCTCCTTTTGGGATTTCGGGCACACATGCACATGTGCCTGGCGTGTTCTTGGCATGTCCTTTTAGCCGCCACGTCCAAGACTTGAACTGCAGCACAGTCGGCCATGTGACGTCCAGCTGCCTTAGTCACCACCCACCGGTCCTAGCTTTACTGTTTCTGTGACATTTTTGACGGGTCCAGGCCTCTTAGCCTGTTGGCTGCCCTGCCGTGTGGATCCATCGGCTGCTTCCTCATGAAGCTCAGGTCGGACCTTTCTGGTGAGAATGTTTCAGAGCTGGCATGTCCTCCGTGGTGCGTCACGGCTAGGGGACTCTCCCCGACCCCTTTGTGGTGACACCGAAGCCCTGCTCACGTGGCTAAGGGTGGTCAGCTGAGCTCTTTGTTCCATAGGCACTTTGATTTCCTTTTAATGAGTAAGTTATCTCTAGAGGACGAGACTGTGGGGCCGGGACGGTGTCCTGCTCGCTCGCGACCCTTTGCCCTGACGTGGGTCTGTTGGTGGCCCCTGCGCGGCTGTGACCTGCAGCTGCACCATGGTGATTCCACTCTGCTTGCCCTGCCTCCCAATTGGTGGGTTGGCATTTTCTTCTGTAATTAAGAGAGAGCTCGCGTGAGCTTGAGAGAGAGGAAGAGGCCCCTTGACAGCGTCTCGCACGCCACGGTCTCCCTTCCTCCAGCCCCGGCTCGTCAGCCTCTTGGGCACTGCACACGCCCAGCCTGCTCTCAGACCCACCTGGGGACCCGAAGCTTCAGTCAGCCCGCTGCCTCCCAACCCTGCGGTTCAGTTTGCTCAGGAGGGAAATGCTATTTAGATCACAGAATCTGGGCACTTGTGGATTCGACTAGGAAATAGATATACCGATATCTGTATCTATAGATATGTATCTAGCATTGCCAGAAGGTGTGTGTGTGTGATCGGAGAGAGTGAGAACAACGGAGAGAGAGAGAGAGGACACCCTGAACAGACGTGGGCCTGCCACGACCCTCTTT